GACTTTCATACGACTCTATGAGCATCTTTCAGCACATGCATGGGAAATGACAGAATTGGTCATCACTTGTTTTCCAAAAAATATGTCCAGCATTAAAGCACAGTTCCAGTTTTAATTTCTTTCCTTTAAAAAATGTTACAGCCAATAGAAAATATGCAGCTATCAGTGAAATAGTCACCTTGTCTCCAGCGCTGTCCTCCACAGAAACTCCAACTGCCAATTGCCTATCAGGTTGAATGAGGGCCAATGTCATTCAGTCTGTAGTCAAGGCCCAAGTGACGTATTCTATTTAGGAAGAATCACATACACACAGTATACTGATATATACTGTATAGATGTTGAGCAGGCTTATTGGTACAACTGATAGGCAAGTCCTTGGCGCTTGATACAACAGTTCAGTGAATGGACCAGACTCAGTATTTGATGAGATGTGTTACTGGAGGTTGGTATCAGTTTCTGGGAATAGTGTTCCTTGACAGAATACTCAAAAATAGGTTTTAGCAACCCGCACTGTCTCTGTACTCCCGTACCGATCACTAAACTGAATGAGGTGTGGGGAGAGCCTTGTCTGCTTGCTTCGAACCTCTCCCCAACACTAAGTGCTGTCCCTCACAATGGGTTACTGTCCCTGTCCAACCACCTGCCTAAGGTGTGCTAACAAGGCATGAGTTTCCTTATTTAAAAGATTCCCTCATCCAAAATGGCCACTAAATGTCCTGAGAATTCTTTGTCCAGTCAGACAACTTCCCTTCTCGAGGCACCAGACAGAAACCCTAAGGGACCAATTGCCTTATGAGACACCTATTTTCATGCAGTGATGGCAGAAGGCCATCTACAGGTGGGAAATCCCATGGACACACCCACTATCATGGCATCACTATATCAGTCTGGATTAACAGTACAATACTGCTGAGAGCAGAATTTTTATTAAATGGTCAACACCACTCTCTGCAGTATTGAAGAAAACCCACAACAGGAAGAGAGATGATCTTGTTGGTTTGCTTTTTTACTGGCCTAATGGCTTCAATATCTTAAAGTGGTTGTAAACCCTTACATATACCGGTGAAGTGACTGGCCCCAGTTGATAAGCAGAGATAAAACAAAACCTCCAACATAAGTTGCACCTGTTTATCTGCAGCCCTCTCTTCTCTACAGCTATTCAGATGGCAGAAATTACACAGCAATTCTGAGCTTCAGAAAGCAAGGGGCAGGGAACTAAACTTACACTCGGCAGCACTCAGTGAGAGCTGATTGGAGGGAAGGGACATGCACCCCTTCACAAAACACACAGGAATAGAGCTGAGGCTGACAATCATAGGCTTTGGGCTGGAGCTCCCTCCCCTGTGACTCAAGTACAGTTTTTAGGTGGAAGTGGGGTAGGTTTCCCTGAATAAATGAGTTTTCAAGGATCGCCTAAAGGTGGACAGAGTAAAGGGTAGGTGCTGACTAGACATACTGAGGTAGGGAGTTCCAGAGGATGGGAGAGATTCTGGTAAAGTCCTGGAGCTGAGCAAAGGAAGAGGTAACAAGGGAGCTAGAGAGCAATTCCCCTCACTTTGGAAATTATTATAACTCTCTGTTGTGAAGGGTAATTTTCTCAATGGTACAATGGCAAAAAAATAAACTGGCAAAGGGTTAACCTTCCCTATTCTATCTAAAACTAGAAAAAAACAGCTATATATGCAGTTTAAGCACTTCCCGTCCAGCCCATGTACATAAAATGCCGGAATGGAGAAGTGCAGGAGTGGGTGGCCGTTTATAAACGTCCTTCCGCATTGCCTGCCTGTGCGCACTGGAACGCTGCAGCATCACGATCCGGTGCCCGCTGTGTCCTCTGGACACAACAGAACACCAATCGCTGTATGGGACCTCTGTGTGAGGTCCAGATCATGTGATCACTGATTGGCCAAGAGCCAGAGCTGAGCCCACCCCCCCTCCAGCCTTGTGCTCTGGTGAGCAGGGGGGCACTACCCATATGGAAGAAAAATTAATTCAAAATATATTTAAAAAATATTCTTCCCAAACATATTGACATATATTTGAAATGCTACAATTTTAGCCATATTCAATATATATATATATAAATATATTGAATATGGCCAAAATTATATATATATATATATATATATATATATATATATATATATATATATATATATACACATACACACTGTATGTTGAAATGTGTTTTTATTACAAAATATATGAAAATATTTTAAAAAATAAATTTCAAATATACTGTGTCTTTAAAAATACAAATCTAAATTTTAAAACTCTGCAGAATATATTTAAAAATACATATTTTTTAAATATATTCTTCAGATTTTTTTAACATATAAAAAAGTCATTTTAACATATATTTTTACATATATTTGTAAATGCATTCCACAAATGTAAATTTGTATTTTTAAAGACCTACAGTATATTTGAAATGTATTTTTAAAAATATTTTTAATATATTTTGTAATAAAAATGCATTGTAACCAGGGGCGGACTGACAACTCATGGTGCCCCTGGGGCAATAGGGGATCATGGGGCCCCTGTGTCCTTGCCCAAACTCAAAAAAGCCTATTAAAAAGGTACCAGGGGCATCTCATGGGGCCCCTACTGACCCCGGGCCCTCGGGCAGTACCTGAGTTTCCAAATGGTCAGTTCGCCCCTGATTGTAACATACAGTATATATATATATTTATTATTTATTGAATTATATTTTGAAATACCGTATTTTCCGGCGTATAAGACGACTTTTTACCCTTGAAAATCTTCTCAAAAGTCGGGGGTCGTCTTATACGCCGGTATACGGCATACTGACACTTTTTAGGGGGCGGCGCGGTGCCCCCCCTTCCAACGGAAGGGACACTAAGTACAGGGGTGGGCAGGGGCTGTTTCTTACCTGGCTCCGGTCCCACGACAATCCGGTCCAGGAAGCACGGCTGCTCCTTCAGTTCGGCCACTGGATGTTCGCGTGGCTGCTCGGCTCCGCCTCCTCACCAGTGATTGGCCGCCAGAACTGTAGCTCAGGAAAGGCACACAGGCGGCCAATCACGGGCGAGGGGGCGGAGCCGAGCGGCCCCACGAAAATCGAGTGCAGGAGCAGCAGGTAAGTGTTCAGTGTAGAGGTGCTGCTGCAACCACATATGCTGGCTGCAGCAGCACCATACTAGAACAGGGTCAGCAAGTGTAATTGGTGTCAGTGGGAGAAATAGTGCCCCATCATTGGTGTCACTAATACCAATGATGGAGCACTATTCTTCCCACTGACACCAATGACGGGGCACTATTCCTCCCACTGACACCAACGATGGGGCACTATTCCCCCCCCCCACTGACACCAACGATGGGGCACTATTCCCCCCCCCCACTGATACCAATGATGGGACACTATTCCACCCCCCACTGACACCAATGATGGGGCACTATTCCACCCCCCACTGACACCAATGATGGGACACCATTCCTCCCACTGATACCAATGTTGGGACACTATTCCTCCCACTGACACCAATGATGGGGCACTATTCCTCCCACTGATACCAATGATGGGGCACTATTCCCCCCACTGATACTAATGATGGGGCACTATTCCTGCCACTGATACCAATGATGGGGCACTATTCCTCCCACTGATACCAATGATGGGGCACTATTCCTGCCACTGATACCAATGATGGGGCACCTATTCCCCCCACTGATACTAATGATGGGGCACTATTCCTCCCACGAATTCCAATGATGGGGCACTATTCCTGCCACTAATACCAATGATGGGGCACTATTCCTCCCACTAATACCAATGATGGGGCACTATTCCTCCCACTGACACCGATGATGGGGCACTATTCCTCCCACTGGTGTGCATTGGAAGAGGGGTAGTCTTATACGGCGAGTATAGCCCAAACACTACATTTTAGCAGGAAAAGTAGGGGGTCGTCTTATACGCCGGCAAATACGGTATATTGAATATGGCCATAATTGTAGCATTTCAAATATATGTCAATATATTTAGGAAGAATAGTTTTAAAATATATTTCAGATATATTTTTCTTCCATGTGGGTTCTCTCCTGCCATCAGACCGGGAGCTGACTGAACAGCGGTCATGTAACCTGCACACAATCAAGAATACCCAGAAGTGTCTACAAACCTAGGGGCGGACTGACCATTCGAATATTTGGGCACTGCCCGAGGGCCCAGGGGTCAGTAGGGGGCCCCATGAGATGCCCCTGGTACCTTTCATAGGCTTTTGTGGGTGTAATTTGAGTGTGGGCAAGGACAGGGGCCCCATGATCCCCTATTGCCCGGGGGCCCCATGAGTTGTCAGTCCGCCCTGTACAAACCCCACCAATCTTATATAATCAGCCAGGCACAGTGGTATTATTATTGCAATATATTGCATGTCCTGAAAAGTGTGAGCGGCATTTCCAGCAAACCCCGGCTCTCTCATATCAGATAAGCTTGTCCACAAAAATGTTCAGATCTACAACAGTTCAGATCTTCATACATACTCACACAGCCAGATTAAATAAAATTCACATTATAGTAGAAAGTGGTTTAGTGGGAAGGATGTACAAACAATGGCATGTGGAAAATCCTCCGGGTTGTGACCGGTTTTACCAGTAACCCCCCCAATATCTTCAGATATAACATCATGTAATCTAATATCTCCCGGCCATAGAGCCATCACTGTCACAAAGATGCTGCAGCATGAAAATGAGTATGTATGTGATTTTTTTTTTAATAATCTCATAACCTCAGAACACCGTGCGTTCCTGTGTGATTCATCTGCAGCTCTGTGCGGTGCGATTTCAAGGCCACTTTTTTGAATGGGTTGAAATTGCACCAAAAATGTTTTTAAATGAACAGCAACTGCGTCACATGGTACGTTCTACCATTTGATTTGGTGCGGGCCAATGCAAGCAAATGCAATGCACTTGAGATCTGCATTTGGGGTGTCGTTAACTTTTAACTGACCTCTGCAACAGATCGTATAGGCATTGCAATCAGAATGCGGTGCTGGAAGCCACATGGGACCGCAGCTCTCCCGCACTGCATTCTAGTGTGAACGAACCCTTAAAGGTACAGTGCGAGGACAGACATTGATGGAATACTCTGTTAACAGACATAAAGAAATGCCGTAGCGAATAGGGAAGAATGGAAATAGCGCAGGGCATACATGACTAGGCCCAGAGTGGTGTAGGGAACGGAAAGGGTTAAATTTAGCTCCAGGGGGTGGGGAATTGATTGGGGAATTACAGGATTGGCAGATGTGGAGTGTAGGAGGGGTCTGTGGCACCTTAGGGTGGGGGGTTCTGCGGAAGGGGCGTCAGTGGAGCTGGACGTGTGCAAGGACCAGAGCTTCCCTCCCGCCCTCCCTGTTTGGTTGGGTATAGGGTCTCGTCCGGGGGCAGGTGAGCAAGGAAAAAAAAAAAAAAAAAAAAAAAAAGACACCGGTTGGAGAGGTGGGTTTTTCTGTTGGTTCGTGGGCGGTTGTTGGTCTTTGGAGGCGGTTCTCATCTTGGAAGGAAAAACAATGGTGTGGGACCCCATCCGTGGTATGGGGGGCCCGGTGGATATTCCCAGTTAACCAAGGTTGAACTGGAAGGTGGTGGTGCTGCACTGCGGACGGTATGGTTGTCTCCGAGCTGGTTGGTTGCGGCTGGAGGCCTAGTGTATAGGGTTGTCCGCAGGTGCATTTTGGATCGTTTGTGGGTGCCTTTGAAGACCAACAACAATTCTTTGGTTTCCGTTAAGGAACGGTTGATGTATGTTAAATTGTGAAGTTGTTAATAAAAGGCCATGTTGGCCATTTACTCCAAATGGTGTCATGTTTTTTTGTAAAGTTTATTTGGTTAAGGGGGTGTGGAGGGGTATGGATAGGTAATGGTGGATGTAGGAGTGGACAAGCCTATCTATGGTGCATTAGTCATGTTCCAGTATATGGTATGGTGACTCACGCTGAACCTGTAGCTAATTAACAGCATCATAAAGATAACTATAAAACAATCAGCAGTATCTGATTATTTATTCGTCCTGAATACATTCAGCTTTGTTTATCCTACCAGATGCAAAAAAGGATTTTTTATAGATCTGAATCGCATTAAAAAACAAAGCAAAAAGTGTGAACCTAACAATTTTGTCTCTCAAGTTGTAGTCTGTGAATTTTAGCAAGGCATGGTTATTTTGGTATTTTATGCAAATACGTTCTTATTTAACAATGATTATTTAAAATTATGCTTATTAAAAAAAAAGTGAAACTTAACTTTTGGCAAGCAGCTAAACCTGAGTGTAATATATATTGTACATGATGATTATTTCACAGCCAGAAGAATTTGTAATTCTCTGCAGCCATTGTTGTAATCCAACCACCATCATCACCCAGCATGTTCAGGTCTGGGACATCCACTGAAACTATAGCATTACAGGAGGGTCTGGAAACAACCCCAGCTTGCTGATTGGACAATGCAGGAGAAGCGGCGCACTGATGAGGTCATCTCTTTGCTCTCACGTTAAAGCAGAGCTCCACCCAAAAGGGGAAGTTCCGGTTTAATGCTTTGTCCACCGCTCCCCATTAAGGATTGGCACCTTTGGGGAACGGGTACCCAAATTTGACAGGTACCCGCTCACACTTCCGCTGCGATCACCTAGGCGATTGGAAGCGGAAGTTGTCCTCCCTCCCAGTAGTTTTCTGGGACACGTGACAGATCCCAGAAGACTACGGGGCCATTCACAAAGCACAGCACTTCTCGCACATGCGCAGTGGGCACCTGGCTGTGAAGCCGCAAGCTGTCACAGCCGGGTTCCCACACTGAAGATGCCGGTGCTGGGGAGAGAAGACGGCCGATGAAACCAGCGGTGGTGAGGACACCGCTAGACCGAGGGACAGGTAAGTGGCTATATTTTAGAAATCTGCAGCACAGTTTTTGTAGCTCCTGTAGCCGCTTTAAGTTCCACCACATGCACACTTCTGTACAGCTTAAAAGGCTTCTATAGTTGGCTTTTCCTCTCCAAGTGCTAATATATTAGGGATTTCAGGAAGCCAATATGAAGACAGCCTCATGTTATTCACAATAGCTTTTTCTTTTTTAATTATCAAATCATGGCATAAGCCCTGCCTGTGATGCAGTTTTAAAGTAACCAATAATAAATAAATGAAGTGAAAAAGTACCCATGTCTACGTTTGTTTTCAGATGTACTCTCTAGAACAGTGGTCCCCAAACTGTGGCCCTTTGCTTGAGTTTATCTGGCCCTTGGGCACTATTCCACCAACTGTCACCAATGATAGAGCACCATTCCCCCTACTGATACCATCAATGAGGCATTATACTTCTCACTGATATCAACAACGGAGCACTTTTTTTCTCAATGATATCAACAATGGAGCACTATTCCTCCCTTTGAAATCAATGATGGGGCACTGATGCCGGGGCATTTTTTACTTCCACTGGCTACAGTTCGGCCCCCGTAAAGTCTGAGGCACAGTAAATTGGCCCTTTGCTTAGAAAGTTTGGAGACCCCTGCTCTAGAATGAAAAATGTTCTACAAGGGTCAATTTATACAGTTGATATCCGTGTTGTGTAGGTGAATTAATCTTGCCAATCCTCAATACGCATTCATGAACCAAAAAAGTACCTGACCTAGTCTCTGACAGCGTAACGTGCCAAAATGCATGTGCATTCATAACTATGTGCATTAAAGGGTCTGTCATGCTGTTTATGACTATTAAACATAATGCAAAAAACCTTTTTCTCCCACCCACCATATCAACGTAAAGTGGTTGTAAACCTCAGGCATGAAATATGAACAAAGCATATCCCTCTATAGTGTGTTCTTATCTCACTCCAGAGCACTAAGCGTCATTTCAGTCTGCTGCCTCATTCCTCTGCTATACGCATGAGTCAATTCTGACAGGTTTTCCTGACACCAAGTGAAAAATGGTGACAGGGGAGAGTACAGTCCGTGATTGACAGCCTTGGCTCCTTTCCTGTCTGCTGTGTGAAGGGGGGGGGGTGCCTCTTCCCTCCAATCAGCTTTCCTCACTGTAACATCAGCTCCCCGCCTCCTACTTTTCAGAGCTGAGAGATCCTGTTTAATTTCTGCACAATGAATAGAAGGAGGGGAATTATGGTGTAGATAAACAGGTACAACTTATGTAGGAGGATTAGTTTCAATTCAGAGCTGAGAGATCCTGTGTAAATTCTGCATGTTGAATAGAAGGAGGGGAATGGTGGTGTAGATAAACATGTACAGCTTATGTAGGAGGATTTGTTTTCATTTCAGAGCTGAGAGATCCTGTGTAAATTCTGCACGTTGAATAGAAGGAGGGGAAAGATGGGGTAGATAAACATGTACAACTTATGTAGGAGGATTTGTTTCATCTGTATGTATCTGTATGTAGGTGTAGGAGGGAAAAGATGGGGTAGATAAACAGGTACAGCTTATGTAGGAGGATTTGTTTCATTTCGGAGCTGAGAGATCCTGTGTAAATTCTGCACGTTGAATAGAAGGAAGGGAAAGATGGGGTAGATAAACATGTACAACTTATGTAGGAGGATTTGTTTCATCTGTATGTATCTGTATGTAGGTGTAGGAGGGAAAAGATGGGGTAGATAAACAGGTACAACTTATGTAGGAGGATTAGTTTCATTTCAGAGCTGAGAGATTCTGTGTAAATTCTGCATGTTGAATAGAAGGAGGGGAATGGTGGTGTAGATAAACAGGTAGAAACTTATGTAGGAGGATTTTTTTTCATCTGTATGTATCTGTATCTGTATGTAGGTGTAGGAGGGGAAAGATGGTATAGATAAACAGGTACAATTTATGTAGGAGGATTTGTTTCATCTGTATGTATCTGTATGTAGGTGTAGGAGGGAAAAGATGGTATAGATAAACATGTACAACTTATGGAGGAGGATTTGTTTCATCTGTATGTATCTGTATGTAGGTGTATCACCTGAGGCCAGTCACTTCATTGGGTATATGTATAGGTTTACAACCATTTTAATGTGAATTTAAAGCCAAAACGTCTCCCCAAAATGAAGGCGGATCCCTTCTTAGACAGTTGTCACTATGAAGGAGAAGGATAAAGGGAAATGAGGACAGCAGGGGCACGAAAGTAATAAAAACTCAGTTATTACTACATGTATTTGATTTTGTATGCTTTGACCACTGCAACCAACACCATTGGCATCATATTTATTTATTTCAGGTACTTATATAGCACCATCAATTTACGCAGCGCTTTACATATATATTGTACATTCACATCAGTCCCTAACCCTCAAGGGGTGTACAGTCTAAGGTCCCTAACTTACATTCATACATATACTAGAGACAATTGCCAATTAACCTACCAGCATGTCTTTGGAGTGTGGGAGGAAACCCACGCAGGCACAGGGAGAACATGCAAATTCCAGGTAGGAGGTGCCATGGCTGGGATTCGAACCAACAACCCTAGTACTGCCAGGTGGAAATGCTAACCATTTAGCCACTGTGCTGCCCATGTTAATTCTTGTGCCATGTACTCACATTCCTAAGATCCTGATAGGAACCTAGCCCACCTATGTACTGCTCCAGTTACTCCCATTATTATTATTATTACTACAGGTACATACAGTGGGGAAAATAATTATTTGATCCCCTGCAGATTTTGTAAGTTTGCCCACTTACAAAGAAATGAAGGGTCTATCATTTTTATCATCAGTGTATTTTAAATGATAGAGACAGAATCAGCACATGATACAAATGTTATCAATAGAGTTGCAGTTCAGTGAGTAAAATAAATAATTGATCCCCCAGCAAAACATGACTTAGTACTTGGTGGAGAAATCCTTGTTGGCAATCACAGAGGTCAGATGTTTCTTGTAGTTGGTTCCCAGGTTTGCACACATCTCAGGAGGGATTTTGGTCCACTCTTCTTTACAGATCTTCTCTAAATCCTTAAGGTTTCTTGGCTGTCGCTTAGCAACTCTATGCATTTGAACCGGTGATACAAGGCAGGATGGATCTATGCTTTCATGCTGTTTACATCAAAATTCTGACCTTACCATCTGAGTGTCG